TAGCTAGCCTCAGCAAAGGCTTCTAAGGCGCTCTTCTTGCTGAGAAGAACAGTAGCATCCAGGGACCCTGCAGTCTTACTGCCCCTCCACAAGGCGTTGGTGCGTTCACACCTCGAGTACTGCGTACAGAAATGGGTACCGAACATCGTCAGCGACCAGGAGCACGTCCAGAGACGATTCACTATGATTTTTCCTGCCCTGAGAAGGATGTCGTACTCGAGGAGCCTGAGAGAGCTAAACTTGTTCTCGCTCTATCATAGACGAATGAGAGGTGACCTAACAGAGGTTTTCAAGATACTGAAAGGACTCTCACAGCCTAGCAGGCAACTCTTCTCCCTCAGTGAAAAACCAGCTCTAAGAGGACAGCAGCTGAAGCTGGTCAAACCCCGTGCATTAAAGAGAGAAAGGGCAAACTCCTTCTCTCATAGAGTGGTCAATGCCTGGAATAGACTTCCTGATGAGTTTGTCTCGGCGTCCACACTGGCGCTGTTCAAAAGAAGGCTAGATGAGGTGTGGGACGTAACCTTTCCTGAATCGGCCTAAGGAAGGAAGCAACAGTCCTTGGTGGTAGCTATGCCTTTAGCTTTCCCGAACACCATTCGCCTTCCATCTTTACTCTTAATTACATCATCTCATTTCACTTCAACTACCTTCACTTCACCTGTGTATCTCCAGCTCCCCACACCCTTCTCCCCGTACTGGCTTACTTTTCTTACTTACTTACTCACTTCCTTTTCCTTTTTCATCCTAACCTATCTTCGCATGCCTGCGGGTTCTCTATTATTTGCTGGAGGGGTACTCGGACCTCCCAATTAGCCTGTGACTGATCAGTTGGTGCTGCTACCATCGACAGCTAACCGGATTGGCGTCCCTGCTCCGCGGTCGTACCTCTACACCCGCAAGGACCGATCAACTGACTATCGAAGCGTTACGAGACACGTGGCCCGTAGACGCAAGAACCTGGACTATTTTACTGGCTCAAGCCGCAAGTCCTGTTCCAACAGAACTGAAGCCACAAGATCAGCCAACAACACATCCATTTGGAGGCCAAATTGGCTCGGTCCACACATCGTCAAGTGCAAAATGAACTGAACAAGTCATTCGCAAGACAGAAGATATCATCAAAGGCAATAGCCTCGTCAAGAGTTGAAACATGAATTTGTTTAAGTTGCTTGGGTCGTTGACCATAACAACACGAGAAGCACTCATTTTCAAATATGGCCAAAGTCTTGGGTATCGGCATAGGGGTTTTCATTCTCGGGCTATTGTGGGTGTTATGTGCAGTCGCTTGCCTACTTTTATCAAAACGTGAATCGTCCACGAGGTGAGTGTAATCAAAAATTCCATTACAGTACAGGTTATCCACAACTGCTGTCATTTTCATCAGCATAATTATCTCAATTGTATTGCTCACTATTCCCCGAGAAAAAACTGTTGAGGAGCAAGTGGTAAATCCTTCAATGAAAGTTATAACGTAATAACATAAATTCAGCTATACGACTATCCATTTTTGATACGCTGTTTTGTCCTCACCCTTTTTGCTGTCACTATCTTCATCGAATTTATTCTAATTTGTATACATTATATATTCCATATGACTGTACCAGCTGTCAAATAAGAAAATTAAAATGGTCCAGTTTATGATGCGGTTTTCTTTTTAAAAGCATGAGGCCAAGTGCCGATCCCGAAAAGCGGACCGTCAACGAACAACACCGAAAGAAAACTGAAAGACCTTCCTGGACAGGTCTCCATAAGCTTTCACATGGATGCTTCATTAGTGCTCCGCGTTAGACCTACGCCACGCTCTGTAGCAGGTCAGTCTTTTGAGTCCAAGGCTCCGGTTAGGGTTGCCAAAGGAGAACCCCTTCGTCCATGTAGGCTACCGCGGAGGTTTTCACTGGACAGAAATCGCCACGTCTAAATTGTCCTTGAGAGACACAGTTTGAACTGTCTTAGTGGAAGGTAAGGGTGGTTCCGTCCCTTGAAAGGATTCGGCCTGCGAAATTTCGTAAACCCAGTGACGCTGAGCGTGTTATGAACAAACGTTACACAATGTGCACATATCATTATAACAGTTTAATAAACTACCATTTTAACCACTTCTCACTTCAGATAAACATAATTTTAAAACTGGCCAACTGCAGCTACCAGTCCTATCGATTCTTGTCAATCTAAGACATTTCCCATATAAGACCACATCTTTCAGAAAGATGAGAGTAGATCACAATTTAATAAAAATGTTAACACGTGGAAACGATCGAAAAAAATTAAAATGATCTCCTATGAATGTCATCCAATACGAAGTACATCAGGATATATTAAGATTACGTTGACAGTTTCAAGGGTCAGATATTCCTCTTTCTAATTGATCCTCGTTACTACTTTTACGTTATTGATTCTGACCTCGTGACCTGTTGATGTGTAATGCTTCCAAAGTGTGACCTTTGATCAGTGCGTCTTTGTACAAGTGTGTATTCGCGTAGGCAGCCACACATGACGATCACCAAACATCCATTGATAGGTCGTGCGGTTCCAAGTGATGCTTAGTGTTGAACAAAATTGGTCGCAATTTTGTTATAGGGTTGCAGGAAATGGTGACACCCAGTGGGCGAATGATTTAATCGACGGCTTATGGTGCCCCATGCTTGTATGGCAGTTGGCATTTCGTTTTCTTCTCTTCATTCTTTAGTCATCTTTCCCATGACGCATGTTTTGACGAACTTTTGAGATATGTATTTGCATGGAATAGTTCTTCATCCTGACAATCTTTTTTCTGCAGTGTAGAACAAAGAGCATGCACAACTTCTCATGTGATGATTGTTTTCGTAACTCAGCAGCTGGTCCGTCGTTGATAGTCTCCATTAAACTGCAGCTTGTGTTAGAATGATGAGAATGCCCAAGGATATCACCTTACCAGGTGATATCCTTGGGCATTCAATCTACTTAAATTAGCACGGTATTGCTTAGCTCTTACCAGTGTTAGAAACACAAAAGGTCCTCTGTGTACTGGATTCAGAGAAGAGGACAGACTTTATTTTTATTACACAATTCGATGAGATAAACAGCAAATGAGGAAAGCCTCATAATCACGAAGATCAGCTGTTCAGTGATGGAAACCAATAACCCAAGTCCCGGGACTTGGAGCGGGGAACCACATAAGGCTCGGTGTTGGACCGGAGGATAACAAAGCTGCCTACTCAATACCGTGGTTTCTAGTTGTTTGACCACTATATATGCGAAAAGGCCGGATATTTGAGATCCCTGTAGGGTGTCTTACTTTTCGATAAACCCTCCCCTCAAACGTTAGATGGCTCATGCAGGGTTCAACCATCTCCTCAAGTTTATTTACCGACAATGATACCCTTTTTGGAGAAGAGAGCTATCTCTTTTCAGATGTATGTTAGCCAGGGCTAGTTTCCTGACGATTGTAAACCCCGATGTGGTGTCAAAAGTAATTTTTGCTTTTGTTACCGCCTTATTACTTTTGTTCGATCTATGGATGAGACAGANCTTATAGTCACTATCTTCTGGAATGGATGGGAAACATAGATGGGAGAAGGGCCAGATAGTAGGTGGGGGTTATTGTCGAAGCGAAAACTGGACGTAGTAGTATATCAGTATTATGCACATTTGGTAGTCCGTAAATCCGCGGGAGGGAAACCTTCTCAGGTTTCACATGTTGACCACTGAGATTATAATTTTGTTCACTGAGCTTTGTGACTAATCGGTTTCGCAGACTTTTGATTGACTGACATGTTTCAGAATAGCCGATGGGTCAACCCAGATCCTCTTTGTAATCTGTTATGTATAGTATCGCAGTTGCACTGCCATTATCCTTCAGCAGAACAGTGATACAATGATTTGTGCGGAGTACTTTATGATGTTATAGCACATCACATCAGAAATGTGAGTTGTTGGTAGACTTTTGTCCACGGCTGTTGTTATTTTACCTCAGTCTGTAGATTTTGCCAACTTACGGCTCCAACCGAGGAGAAAAATGCCGTCGGTGTCACGTGTGAGTAGTTGAATATACATGTCTACAAGTTCTCGAACTCTTAAGAAGTGTACTGTGCTGGCTCATGTAAAAAGCAGTTATAATAACGGAGGCTTCACTTTGTCGGTTTCCACTGAAAAAAGAGAACAGTGTGCAGTCAAGTGCACGCCGACACCTGATCTTACAACACATGCGTAGCACGAGCACACAATTCACGTACTAAGGCAAGGGTTGAACCAGTCGCTGTGACGCTGGGTAAATGAACGTTGCTAACGTAATGTAGCAACGGGAATGGTGATTTGAATGTGTTGAAGACAAAACACGTGCTTTGGAGTTCTGAGTATGTAGACCTCCGATTAGAAAATCGAGGCTGCGTTTGGCTTAAGGTAAATAACAAAACTAATGCATATAATGTGACTAAAGATGACAGAAGGCGCTAGTGTTTTACGATAGTTTGCAGGTGTTTTTATCTATTCGAAAGTGCTTAACAAAATTAGTTCGCATTTGTCGAATTCCGTACATCATGCGAAATTGAGGACATCTATAAGTATGTCAATTACTCATTTTTCCACGAATTTCATTCCGTTTTCAAAATGACTATCAAGATGACCCTCTTGGAGATCCAGCAGAAGTAAAATAACTAGTTGACGTCCAAAAATCTAGTGAAGTACGCATTTGAATCCGTGTCGATTAAGAACTTTCAGGAAAAAGACAGTACAGTAACTTCTTTTTGAAAAATAGACAAACACTGTACAATATCTATGGGACAGACAAATATGGGTCGAAACAAATAACGTTACACAAAACAATGTTTCTGTTATCTATGTTGAAACCAATCCCGAAACTCCCCCTAACAGACTATTCGTCACTTGAGGGTGTGGATGGTTCATCTTCTTCATCGGAACTGAAAGCTGCTCTGACGATCCGTCGTCGTCGTGTGGTAGCGGCATTCCGAGCAGGTCCACGACGAACTTCAGGAGCGCCTCGCCGATTCGTAGTACCACGGGATGATTCCACAACCGCTGATGGATCCTCCTCTTCAAATGTCTCTGTCTCATTCGTGGTGTGTGTAGCTCGTCGCAAGTTGCGTCTGGTTGGTTCGCTAACCGTGTTTCCCGAAGACAGTCGAGTTTGGCGTGTTTTTTGTTTTAGGGCTTTGGCAGCCAATTCTGCGCGACGTACAGCAGCCTCATCTGAAACACCTTTCTGGTGGAACTGCATTATAAAAACAAACGGAGTGGCAAATAAATGCATTGGCAACATGACGGAGTGGTATTTAAAACATTATAACTACTAGTTGAATCTTGCTAACGCTCCACTTGTCCGTTCTGACTGATTGGCGGCATTATGTAATGTGACATTACGTTGAGGAGTTTCCACGTTTTAATGGTGGCCAGGTTTTCTGTGTTCGTTCATGCTACATTACAATCTCTTAAATTTCTTTAGTACAGCAAACCCAATCTGGTGCGCTTATATTATCCAAAATCGATGTCTCTACACTTATCGCCACAACGCAAATGTGGTGAAAGTTGGACACCACTATCATTTTGAAGTCAGTCAGGGGTAGCCGATCGAGTTGGTGCGATCAATTTTCCTCGAGGAATCAACAGGAAATAAAAATGTGCTGATCAGAACCCGAGCCACGAAGATAGTGGAGTTTTAATCACAACATGATCGCCAGTCTAGAGGGGTTTGAATGCAGTAGATGGTAGAAGAAACCTAGCATAAGTCAAAAAGGATCCACAACGTGGGTCTGTAGAGAATGTGATATGGGCTTTCTGATAACTAGAATTTCAAAATATTGTTTGTTATCATCTGAAGTGATCAAAACTACGTTTTGAGTATGCTCCGTCAGTCAGTCAAGTTTCAAACACTAAGGAAGTCACGAAAACGATCCATGTAGTTTCAAAGGATTTACATCACGTAGAATGAAGAACATAAAGCTGCTGACAAAGCAATACTCGAGAAGGATGGTCGTCTCCAGCAGGAAAATTAGCAGATACTTTAGATACTGCAGCTTCGTCAAGTTTTACTGAGATTTTCCGGTTTACAAAGGAGAGAGAAAAATCGCCATAACTTCTATGTTAGCTATGTTATCTTTTGCTTGGTCGGAAACATCTGAAATTCGAAATAATTTTTTGTAAGAACTTTTAAAACATACTTTGAGGACCGAGGATCCAGGATATAATTAGAAAATGAGTACATGAATATAAGAGCTTCTGGGGAAAACCTCGTATTTCGCTAAATTTACGTGCTACCACTGAGTGCAATAGAAACCGGTTGTTGAAAATTTGCCATGACGACTGCTAATTTCATCAATGCAGTACGGAATTACAAGACACAATGTGTGACAGAGAGAACGATAGGAAATTCCCAAGCCACGAAAAATGACACTTATCACCGACTTTCAACAGCAATCTACTAGATCTCTCGATGCGGGCATCAACATTCCCGACGGATTAGATGCAACCCTTAACCACGAACATTCGTCCGTTGGTTTTGGTTACTGTCTTTCGGCTGCCCGTTTGGATGGGGCAGTAGGAGAAAGACGGGAAAGTTGAAAGTAGAGTCAAAGAGAAAATGGAGAATTTCAGTGCATTAAGGTTGCAAAGAGATCGAGATGTACGAACACCATTGTTTGGGACCCTCAAACATATCAGTGCCCACCGGTCACAATCATCCCGAGGTACCCAGCCAGGAAACCTAAAGGCACCTACGTGATAGGGTCACTTGGTTAGCTTTTATACCCTTGTGCCAGGTCTTAGCTTGAGCACCTTTGGTTTCGTTTCAGTCACCACCCCGCCTCGACAAAGGTCGTACGCCGAGGCAACCTATTTGGTGACATACGAAACACATGCCCCATGTAATCTATGGAGGTCGACCACTTGCTCCGGTGGACGACCGCGATTACCTAAAACTCTACGTCTAACCCCAGCATTACTCGTTCGGTTGTCTCACCAGATTCGTGCAATATTGCGTATACAGCAGTGTTCAAACGCCGACGGTTTACCTTTATCCTGTTTTCTTGACGACCAAGTTTTTGCGCCGTATAGCACAACTACAGCGGCATACACTGGACCCTTCACGGACAACCGGACGGCGCCAAAGATCATCATCATAGCACAGCGAGATACAGTGAAGCGAACTTCACTGATCGCTGTCAAGCTCACAATGTACACAAATCAAGTGATAAAGCACAAGATAGAGACGGATTGGGCCTCATTGGAGGGAGGCAAAGAAAAAAAACTTCTGTGGTCAACACACAGAGTACACAATCTAAGTGTTCATGCATATCTTTTCAAGCATTCTGACTTGTTAAAAAAATGACAACAAGAACGCCACCACAGTCGATTAGTCGCCAAATCCTTTAATGTCTCCAGCCAACCAGTTGCAGTCTTTCGGACCCCAACCTGGGAGAAGGGAGACACCGATTCTAGCTAATCGCTCTGTGCATTTCTTCAAGCCTCGCTTCCCCGTTGTCTGTTGACCT